CTGAATACTCTGAGATCGCCACAATAGCACTGTTGCTATTACCGACATCCTACCTGTGTGAGGCGGGGGTTTTCTGCAACAACGGCGACTAAAACAAAATTACGAAGTAGACTGGACATAAACCACACACTTGAGGTGTCATTGTCTCCTATTACCCCGAGATGGGACTGTCTGATTGCAGAAAATCAAGCTCGGGGCTGTGGTGAGTCGTCATTTTCATGCACTTTGAATTTGCGTTGTATCGTATGGAATCAAGAATGGGAAAATGTATGTTTTCCAAACTAACAACCTTATTTCAGACCAAGAGAGGGCATCCGGGAGGTGAAGAACTAACCGGGTGGCCAGGGATGAGACTGGTTTGTATCGGCATGAAATTGATGGACGTCCAGTCCTGTCGGCAAATAAATTGAAGACTCAGTTTAGATCCTATTTCCCTTTGAGTGATTAACAGCCCCCAAGTGTCTTCTTCTGGTCTCCCATCTCTGCTGTGCCCCTCAGGGCTGTCAAGTTCCCTGAGAAAGGAACTCCAATCTCATAATTTGTGCACAGCAGATGTGGTCTGTACTTTGTCAAAATACCAAGATCGAACTACATTGACCTTTCTTTTTTTCTGATTTTTACATAAGGGGAAGGACTGCCTGCCCCTCATTAACATAGTACGCCTATATAAACGTGTGACTGTATTTGTTCAGGGCTTCCTGACGAAATCTGAGACTCTCGGGAGCCCGAATCGATTCGTTTTGCGTTGTGATAAACTGAAGAAAAGACGACGTGGTGGTGGGTCTTCTTCCACCTTATAGAGAGATAGAAGAACCTGTGTCCAAGGAGGGCCAAAAGCAAATTGACAGCTCCCCCTCCTCTACACATACATACATGCACACATACATACAAGCACGCAGGAATGCACACTACTATAAATAGTGTGCAAATACTTGGTAAAGTTTGTCAAATGTAAAAGTTACACTCGCGTTTATTTGTAAATACAGACGCTCCCCAGCTAACGAACGAGTTACGTTCCGAAGGATCGTTCGTAAGTTGCTTCAGTGCTATATTTTGTATGGAATGTATGTTTAAGGCTTATACAGTGAAACTCCTCTAGAACGAAACCTGCATGGGCGAAAATACCCCCTTATGTGAAAAAATCTTCATGCATTAACACAATTCCCATTCTCCTGCCCCCCATACAACGAAAAACCCCCTGTTGCGTTATACGAAATCATTTTGTCTGCTCCAGCCTCGCGAAGACATTCACTACAACGAAGTCTTATCAAACAGCGACCTCTACTGCTTCGTTCGAAAAAAGGCAACAGCAACCACCACACTGGTTTACATAGTGAACGATGTTTATTTCGGTCACAGCTGCGAGTTTCCTGGGCTCAACATACTCATAGCTGCTCTGCTATTGGCTTACCGAGCATCATCCTGGCCTCCGATTGGCCAAGAGGCCACATAGACCTCACTGTCTATGTGTGTAGATACTGAAGCTAGATCCGTAGCATCCGATTAGCTGCTCAGAGTAAATTGCTTATGGCTCGACGGACATTTACTTTACTTTTTATCATGCTAAAAACACCCACGGGACGCTTCGTAGTCCTCGATGGCCATAGTTAGCTCTCGAAGGCTAAAAA